TTGGCCTTGGTTTCTCTCCTGCACCAACCTGCCCCCCACCCCGTGGCCCCCGACTTCGTGGTGTGCCTGGCCACCCCCCCCCATGGCCCCAGCCGGCCGGGACACTGACCACACGCAGCCCATCACCAGGGTGACCTTGTACAGGTGCCGGTTGGTGTAGAAGTCCAACACCGAGGCCTTCGGCACCTTCTTCCCAGACAGCTGCAGCTAGACAACAAGAAGGACCAGCCGGGGGCAAGGCCGAGACCCGTCTGCTGTCTGTCCCTGCAACAGGGGACCCTGCTCCCCACCCCAAAACAAAGCCTCCCCCCCCCCATGGAGACAGCTGGCCTCTGGCTGTGTCCCGACCGGATTCCATTCCATCCTCTCTCCCCCAGACTGTCAGGGGAGGGGGGTTGTTTTGGGGTTTTATTTTTGGATCAGTCGTGGGTCTTGACTTGGGCCCTGGGCACCATCCCTGAGCAATTTGTGCTCAAGGCTGGCGCTCTACCACTTGAGCCACTGCACCACTCCCGGTTTTCTGGTGGTTCATTGGAGATGGACTTTCCTAACCCCAGGCTGGCCTCAAACCAAGATCCTCCAGATCTCAGCCTCCTGAGTTGCCAGGATGCCAGGCATGAGCCACAGCGCCCAGCCAAGAAAGGGGGAGGGTCTCTGTTCGGCTCTTCTTCCCCCCCACCCCCCCACACTCTTACCTCGTTGAGCAATCCTGGAGGAATGGTTCTCTTATTCACTCTGGCAGCATAGCACAGCACTTGCTTAGCCTCTTCTATCCTCCCCCTGGTCATCAGCCAGCGAGGGGATTCTGGGAGGACCCTGTTCGGGGTGGTCCGCCCCTCTCTTCGCATTTCAGGGTGTCCTCCCCATGCCCCACCCCTATCCCGGATCCAAATGAGCCCCGCCTGGATCTCAGCGGTGGGTTATTTGCTCTGCAGCATGAGCCACCAGAGAAGCCCCTGAGGGCGGTCACCATGATCTTTCCTTCACTTTGCTTAATTTTCCCAGTCCCGGGGCTTGAACTCAGGGCCTGGGCACCATCCCTGAGCTCTTTGTTGCTCAAGGCTGGTGCTCTACCGCTTGAGTCACAGCACCACTTGCAGTTTTGCTGGTGGCTCCTTGGAGATCAGAGTCTCACGGACTTTCCCAACCCAGGGCTGGCTTTGAACCGCGATCCTCCGGATCTTAGCCTCCAGAGTTAGCTGGGAGGGCCGCGCGTGAGCCACGAGCGCGTGGAACTCCCTCTTCTCATCTCCCTTCCATGCACGTTCTCCCAAGGAGAGCCCTTCCACCGCCACACCCCTGTCCTGACCCCCCCCCCACACCGGCCCCAGGCCATTGGCTTCACTCACCAGACGCAGCAGATGAGCGGGAAAACGGGCACGCCACCCACCAAGAACAGCAGCCGCCAGTGGGGGATGGTGTAGGCCAGCCCCACCAGGAACATGATACCAATGGTGATGAGACAGTGGGCCAGGACAATGGCGTGGGTTCGATGCTCCCCCACCAGCCACTCCGTGGCTGTGTGGAACAGGAGAAATCAAGAGTCCTCATCCATGGCAGCCTTCTGGCTCACCCTATCGATTTTTGTCTGTTTGTTGCCAGTCCCAGGATTTGAACTCAGGGCCTGGGTGCCATCCCCGAGCCTCTTTGGGCTCAAGGCTGGCGCTCGACCCCGGGGTGGGCTGGGAACCGCGATCCTCCAGATCTCAGCCTCTTGAATAGGCAGGGATGATAGGTGTGAGCCATGGGTGCCCTTCTGAGCTCCAGGAGAGGTTGGTCCCTCAGCCTAAGGCTACCTTCTGACTGTCTATGCCCTGAAGGGAGACCCTGTGAGAATCTGGAAATGGGGTCCTCCAAGGTGCGTGTGTGGCTGCATGGTACACGGAATCGGGGCCTGAGGTGGGATGAGCTTCTGGCTCCTTCCTGCTGTGTGGCTCTGAGCCAAGGGCTTAACTCCTCTGAGCTGTAGCTCTGCTCCTCTACTACAGGAAAGACAGATGCATGTCTCTGCTCGGGCAGAAACAAGCCAAACGATACAGGGTCTAAGTACCGCCCTGGGCCGGGCAGAGCTCTTCTGGGGGTGCTCAAGGAGGCTGTGAGGGGTTACAGGATGCTAACATGGGGGGGGCCAGGAGAGGGTGGAATGGATTCTGTAACACCACTGAGTCGCCAGGAGTTGGCCGGGCCCAACAGCACACGCCTGCCATCCTGGATCCTCAGGGAGGCCGAGATCCGGAGGATTGTTGCTTCTAGGTCAGCCCAGAGAAGGGACATCAAGGAGGCTCTTTATCTCCAACAAACAAGCCAAAAGCCAGATGTAGAGGTGCGGCCCAAGCGGTACAGCACCGGCAGCCTTGAGCACACAGACAGTCCCCAGGGTCAGATTCCCCCTCCTCACCCCTGCTCCCTGCCAGACATCAGTGGTCCCCACGCTGCCCCAGAGAGACCCCATCTCACCCAAAGAAAGGCTGCCGATGGTGTAGCCCACCACGGCCTGGGAGACGGCAAAGCGGAAGAACAGGTACTGGTGGAAGCTGCTCACGAAGGCCGTCCCGAAGCCGAAGATGGCCAGGCCCAGCAGGGACAGCAAGATGGTCAGGTAGCGGCCCATTCTGCAGGCATCCGCATGAGACTCAGCCACGCAGTGGACGTGGGGTGGCCGGCCACGCAGCCCCTAGGGGCCTGGAATGCTCTTCCTTCCCCAGAGCTGGGCAGCAGCTTTCAGTGGGGGTGCCCTGGGAGGGGGGGGGAGCCAGAGACCAACTCCGGGGCCCTTACTTGTCACAGATGAACCCGAAAATGAAAGACCCCGTCAGGATGCCTGCCATGAATATGGCCTGTAACAGTGCTTTGTCTGGTTGCTGGTCACACACGAGGTCGAACTGGCGGGGAGGGGGGAGACAATAACAAGCCAGTGGCTCACGCCTGACATCCCAGCTACTCGGGAGGCTGAGATGTGGAGGATCGCAATTCGAGGCCCAGTCCCAGGAAAGGCCGAGAGATTCTGCTCTCCAATGAAACCACCAGAGAACCAGAATCGCGCCATCTCTGTGGCTCAAAGTGGTAGAGCACTCGCCTTCAATGAAAGAGCTCAGGGCCAGTGCCCAAGGCCTCCCCCCCCCACCAAGTTCAAACCCCAGACAGACAGACACACCTCATTGACGAGCGATCTCATCTTGGAGTCGGGGTAAATCCAGCCATTCTGGCATATGTCCGTGTGGTTGAGGCCGAAGCGGATGATGGTGTCCAGGTCCGAGGGCACTGGCACATACATCAGACAGCGCTGGAAGCTGCCGTTGGGTGCTCGGGGCAGGGTGAGGTTGAGCTGTTGGGCCACAGTCAGATGAGGCCCAACGGCCAGAATCCAGCTGGTGTTGCAGTAGGGTAGCTGGTCCACCAGCGAGAAGCGGTCGATGAACATGAAGAAGGCGGTGAGCACGCTGGGGAGGAAGGTGAAGGCCGTCAGCCTCCGCTGGAAGCGGCCGAACTCTCCAACAGCGTCCAGCACCCTGGTGAAATTGTCCTCCTGCTTCTCTTCAATGGAGCGCAGCCGACGTAGCAGCATCTCCAGCGACCAGGATGGCGAAGACGGTGAGCCCACCGACGAGGGCTTCTTGAGGAACGGAGGCTGCAGGCTCAGCTTCAGAGTCCTCTCCCCGTCCATCTGTGCCCACAAACGGTGCCAGCTCCTGATGTCCGCCTGGGGCTGGAGGGGAGACTCAAAGATGCCCTGTAGCCAGCAGCTCCCGCCCAGCATTCCCAGGTACTCAGGAGGCTGAGATCTGGAGGATCGCGGTTTGAGGCCCAGCCCTGGGGCAGGAAAGTCCGTGAGACTCTGATCTCCAATGAACCACCAGAAAACCAGCAGTGGGCTCCCTAGATGGCTCAAGTGGTACAGCACCAATCTTGAGGAAAAAAGCTCAGGGACAGCGCGCAGGCCCTGAGTTCAAGCCCCAGGACCAGTGCATGCATGCACACATACACACCATAGGGTCTCCAGGGAAATAAATAGACTTAAAGATCAAACAACAGAGCTTCAGGTGAGATCTGAGGGTCCTGGTTCAAAGCCAGCCTCAACAGAGAAATCTAAGCCTCTTGTCTCCAATTAACTAGCAAAAAGCTGGAAGTGGAGGCATGGCTCAGGTGGTAGAGCACCAGCCTTGAGCAAAGATGTTGGGTTCAAGCCCCAGTACCTACACTCACCTAGACACAAAATAAAGGAGGAATCACCAGAATAGGAAAGGTGTTAAGAGTGGGACTGATAGAATACGTGGGTTTGTGGGTACAAGGACTTTCCTGCCCCAGGATGGGCCTCAAACCACAATCCTTCAGATCTCAGCCTCCTGAGTAGCTGGGATGACAGGTGTGAGCCACTGGTGCCCTGCTGAGACTTTTGGTCTTATTTTCTGTTAGCCAACAAGAGTTGAGAGGCAGAGATTTGGCTGAAGTGGTTGGAGTATCAGCCTTGAGTGCAGAAAGCAAGTAAGGATCTCAAGTCCTGAGTTCAATTCCCAGTACTAGCACAAATAAATATGTATTGTGCATTCTAATTTATGTATTAAGATACATTTATATATTTAAGTAAATATGTATACACAGGAAAAATAAGAAGGTTAAATAAACACATCCAAGGGCTGGGAAGGTGGCTCAGTGGTAGAGCGCTTGCCTTGCATGCCTGAGGCCCTGGGTTCGATTCCTCAGCACCACATAAGCAAAAAGGAAAAAGCCAGAAGTGGCGCTGTGGCTCAAGTGGTAGAGCGCTAGCCTCGAACTGAAGAGCTGAGGGACAGCATGCATGCCCAGAGTTCAGGCCCCAAGACCGGACCCAAAATAAAATAAAATAAACACATCCAAAAAATAAAAAACCTGAATAGTTTGTAAATGGCTGGAGAGCATTTCTCAGTTTGCTCACAACCTACCCTTTCCATGTCTTCTGGGCTTGTCCAGAGATTCACTTCTGTCTCAAAATCGTCAGAACCCGGATGACAAGTTGGTCACCTTGCAAGAAGTTAAAACACAAGAGCATAAACTGGCAGAGGTCAAAAGCATGAATAATTATAGGTAAATATTAATCAAGAGACATCCGCCCCAGAGCTGGTGGTTCACGCCTGTCAACCTAGCTACTCAGGAGGCTGAGATCTGAGAATTGCAGTTCACAGCCAGCCCCTCCAAGAGACACTTACTCCAGTGAACCAGCAAAAAAAGGAAAAAAAAAACACAAGCAAATGGCACTGTGGATCAAGTGGTAGAGCACCAGCCTTGAGAGGAAAAGCTAATGGACAATGCCCAGGCTCTGAGTTCAAGCCCCAGTATGGCACAAAAAAATTACATATATATATGTTCACTTTATGCTATCAAATGCTATAGATTTTGACAAACAGAAAGTAACACACACGATCAGATCAGAATATCATGGCCCACAAGAATCGTGAGAAAACCCATCTTTTCTACCAAAGTAAATTTGCTTCCGTTCTGTGAGTCTCCAGAGACTTGCTTCTCTAAATGGCTCCTGCCTGGGCCGGTGGCTTGGCCCCTGTGAATTACTTTAGTGACATCCATCCTTTTCCTGAGCATCTGAATGAAGATGTCCAGAGGGGAGCTACTGGAATATGTTTATATCCTGTTGATTCAGCCACCTGAGCTCAATCAATGGGAGCAGAGGGGCCTGAGCTTGGCCAATAGGAGCAGAGGAGTCCTGAGCTCAGCTAATGGGAGCCAGAGGGACCTGAGCTCAACCAATGGGGGAGGAGGGGCCTGAGCTCAACCAATGGGAGCAGAGGGGTGGTGCCTGCTGGTTTAGGTATAAATAAGGGAGCAGCCTTCCTGCTCTCTGTTGCTTGCTTGTTGCTGATAGCAGCTGCAGAAGTAAACTTTGCCCTGTTCTTGCACAACACCCCAACATCCCAAACCGTCATATATTCAACCTCCCTACCTCTGCACAAACTCTTGGCTACTTTCCTCGTTGGTTTGTTTTACTATACACTGGGGTTTTTCCATAATGTCAATACAGCTACTTTAGTTTTCTTTTTTTAATTTTTTTTTTGTTAGTTGTGGGACTTGAACTCAGGGCCCAGCTAGCACTCTTTTTTGTATTTTTTTTTGTCTGAAACTGTTACTCAAACAGTACTCTTAAAAAAAAAAATAAGGGGCCAGGAATGTGGCTTAGTGGTACCACTTGCCTACCATGCATGAAGCTCTGGGTTCAATTGCTCAGTACCATATAAAGAACAACAACAACAACAAAGCCAGAAGTAGTGCTGTGGCTCAAATAGTAGAGCACTTGATTTGAGCACAGAGAGGCTCATGGACAGTGCCCTGGCCCTGAGTTCAAGCCCCAGGACCGGCAAAAAGAAAAAAAAAAAAAGAAAAAAAGCTGGGCACTGGTGGCTCATGCCTGTAATCCTAACTATACAGGAGACTGAGATCTGGAGGATCACGGTTCAAAGCCAGCCTGGCAGGAAAGTCTGTGAGACTCTTATCTCCAATAAACCACCAGAAAATCAGAAGTGGAGCTGTAGCTCAAATGGAAGAGCTCCAGCCTTGAGCAGAGAAGCCAAGAGACAACATGAGCGCCTGAGTTCAATTTTCTCTCCCTTCCCCCACTGATTTTTAAAAAATGTGTCTTCCTTTTTGTTTTTTTAAGGGTTGATTTCAAATAACAGGGTTTAAAAAAATATTTATTTTGTCAGTCCTGGGACTTGAACTCAGGGCCTGCGCTCTGTCCCTGAGTTCCTTTGGCTCAAGGCTAACACACTACCACTTGAGCCATAGCGCCACTTCGGGCTTTTTCTGGGTATGTGGTACTGAGGAATCAAACCCAGGACTTCATGCATGCTAGGCGAGCGCTCTACCACTAGGGCACCTTCCCAGCCCCAAGAGTGCATTTTCTTTCTTTTTTTGGGGGGGGGTCCGGTTGTGGGGCTTGAACTCTGGGCCTGGGCGCTGTCCCTCAGCTCTTCAGCTCAAGGCTAGCACTCTACCACTTGAGCCACAGCGCCACTTCCAGCTTTTTTCTTTTTGCTTATGTGGTGCTGAGGAATTGAACCCAGGGCCTCAGGCATGCAAGGCAAGCACTCTACCACTGAGCCACCTTCCCAGCCCTGAAGAGTGCATTTTCTTAAGCTACTAAGTATATCAATCTGGGGAGAACAAGGCAGTGTGCTCACTTCCAGATGGAGCAGGCTTCTGTGATCTTCTGAGGTGTGTCTTGTAGGCTGGAGCCAGCTGTACCTGAATCCCTCCTCAGGTTGCTACCCCCCCCCACCTCAGTGTCTCCCCAGGACTCCCCCAGTACCCTTTAGCCTCTGTGGATCCCCCAAGTCCCTTGTTTTGTGAATAGATCCCAGGCCTCAACCCCCCACACCAGGCAGGTGCACCTGGGGATAGATTTCACCATGTGAAGTTTCAGCCACAGGCAGAAATCACCCCCATTTGAAAACTCACGTGCTCCTGATGGCCAGTAAGCTCTGGTTCCCAGGGGCTCTTGGGGACAGAAGTTCTGGAAGCAGAATTTCTCAGGAGTTCTATTCTGTGGTTCTGTTGGTAGCCGAGGCCCAGGCAAGCCGTGTAAGGAAAACCCTGTGCCTTTGTTACCTTGTTCCTGCACGCCGGGAGCCATGTCCCGCCCTCTGCAGGATGTCCCGCCCCCCTCTGAGGGAAGTGCTGCCATTCTTCCAGCTACTGTTCATGGCCCACAGCAGGATCCCCCAGTTCATGTCCCACCTCACCACCCCTCCTCCCCCGGGCATGGCTGGCCATTGGCCACATAAACCTGCAATTGGGTCTTAGGGACACTCTCAGCCAGAGGTGCAGCCAGCTGTGGGGGCCGGGTGCCAGTGGCCCAGCCTGAGCATGTGAGCAGGTAGAACCTGGAGGAAATAGGGGAGTCCTGGGATGGAGAGAGGAAGAGGGGGGAGAGAGAGAGAGACAGGGACAGTGCTGTTCTGTCCAGCAGATACCCGGATGGTAAATGAAGGATTACCCCTGCAATATTATCCATCAATTCACCCATCCATCCATCCACCCAACCATCCATCCACCGACCCATAAAGCCACCCCCCCATCCATCTACCCATCCATCCATCTACCTATCATCCATCCATCCACCCATCCATTCACCCACCCATCCATCCACCCATCCATCATCCATCCATCCACCCATCTATTATCCATCCATCCTTCCGCCACCACTCATCCACCCATCCATCCATCCACCCATCCATCCATCCATCCACCCATTCACCCATCCATCCACCCACCCATCCATCCATTCATGCATTCATCCATCCATCCATCCACCCCCCTATCCACCCATCCATCTCTATATCTATGTATTCACCCATCCATCCACCTATCTATCCATTCACCTATCTATCCATATCTACCTATCAATCCACCTATCCAATCTTTTTCCTTTTTGCCATAGTGGGGCTTACACTCAGGGCCTGGGTGTTGTTCCTGAGCTTCTTTTGCTCAAGACTAGGGCTGCACCGCTGGAGCCACAGTTCAATTTCCAGCTTGTTTTGGTGGTTATTGGAGATCTCTCTCACAGATTTACTGCCCCCACTGGCTTTGAACTGAGATCCTCAGATTCTCAACCTTCTGAGTAGCTAGGATGGTGGCAGGCATGAGCCACTGGTGCCTCCACTTTTTTTTGCTGGTTCCTTGGAGCTAGGAATGTAGTTTTTTTCTTGGCCTGTGCTGTAGTCCCTGTGCTGGGACTGGCTCTGAACTATGATCCTCAGATCCTAGCCTCCAGATTAGCTGGGATTACAGGCGTGAGCTACTGGTGCCTGGCTTGTTTTTTGACTGTTACCCGTCAGGTGAGTTTTGTGACGAGCAGGCCGTAACTTTTGTCCCCAGTTAACGAACAGACTCCCCATCTTGAGTGGGAATTTCTCCCAACTGTACGCAGCAGCCAACCCTATTTCCAGCCAGCCAGGATGAACCTGAGCCCTCTGATTAAGAACTGGTGGGTGGAATGCCGACTTCCTTGGTAATCAACTGTAAATGATAATATAATAATAATGTGAGCCTATTTTTAGCAATAAGGAAACACCACCACTTGGGTTGGGATTAAAAACAAACCAACAAGCCGGGCACTGGTAGCTCACGCCTATAATCCTAGCTACTCAGGAGGCTGAGATCTGAGGATCGCAGTTCAAAGCCAGCCCAGGCAGGAGACTCCTATCTCCAATAAACCACTAGAAAACCAGAAGTGGCGCTGTGGCTAAAGCAGTAGAGTGCTCGCCTTGAGCTGAAGAGTGCAGGGACAGCACCCAGGCCCAGAGTTCAAGCCCCCTGACCGGCAACAAACAAACGAACAAGCAAACCAAGTCAGCTGCTGGTGCTCCACACCTGTTATCCTACTTACTCAGGAGGCTAAGATCCAGAGGATCCCCATTCAAAGCCCAGCTCAGGCAGGAAAAAGCCAATGAGCCACCAAAAAGCAGGAAGTGGAGCTGTGGATTACACGGCAGAGCACCAGCCTGAGTGAAAAAGCTGGATGAGAATCTGAGATGCTGGGAAATTAGAAGACTCTGCCCAGTAGCTGCTTTTCCGATCTCAGTTGGTTTTTGCTCCAGGCTGGTGCTCTACCACTTGAGCCACGCCTCCACTTTTTTTTTGCTGGTTCCTTGGAGCTAGGAGTGTGGATTTTTTCCTTGGCCTGTGCTGTAGTCCCTAGGATTACAGGCGGGAGCTACTGGCACTCGGCTTATGTGACTTCAGAGGGTGTAGGCAAGTTAGAGGTGAACATGCAGCCCCACTGTTCATGCCCAAGGCTCCTGGAACCCCAGCACATATCCACCACCAAAGACAATTTACTCTTTATTGATTAAAAATGAGGAAAACATGCAGTAAAATACAATGTCCAAAAAAACAAAACAGAGAGTAGGGGGTGGGGAAGTGGAGTATTTTACATCTCTGGTCATCTCGTGGTCACCTGGAGGACTCTGCTTGCATGGCTGCGTCATCATTCCAGATGCCTCCAGACGAGCCAACGCGACCAGCTGGCTCTAGAGCTTGATTCCAAACAGAAGTGAAAAGGACAAAACTAAAAATCCACTCGTCAGGAGGAAAAGAGCAAACGATTCACAAGCAGTATTGGCACATCTCCCCCTTGTCCTTCCTCCGGCCACTGGGAGACGGGAGTGGGGTTCACCGGGGGCCACCCCCCCCAGCCTGATGCACCTCCCCCATACATAAGGGGGGGGAGTAACAAAAACACACTGTGTGGGGCTCGGCGGCTTACGCCTGTAATCCCAGCCACGCAGGGAGGCTGAGGCCTGTGAATGGCAGTTCGAAGCCAAGCCTGGTTAAGGAAAAAAAAAAAATCTGAGACTCTCATCTCTAAAAGGATCACTGGAAAAAGCCAGGAGTGGGGCTGTGGATCAAGTGGTAAAGCACCAGCCTTGAGCAAAGCAAAACAAAAAACACCTGAGGATAGCGCCTAGACCCCAAGTTCAAGCCCCAGGACCAGCACCCCAACAAAGACAGCAAATCAACCATATTCTCTACACAATAAGCCACAAGTCTTGTACTACAGAGGGCACAACACCCCCCCCCCCCCGTCTCTACCTCCTCTCCACCCTCACCAAGAAAAGGAAAATACAAGTTCTCTCCTCTATCTTGCTCCTTCCTGGCTCTACCAACTTCCCTTCTTTTACTGGTTCTGCTGGGATCTGGGGGGGCCCGTGGGGAGCCCCACCTGGCTTCTCCATCCTAAATCCACCCCCAATTCCTCAGACACCTCATCCTTTCCCCAACATGCTTCTACACCCAGAACAAGCATCCAAAAGCCGTAACTAAATTACAGATTCAGAAGGAATGGCGCAGAGAGGTAAGTTGAGTCAGTTATGAGAAAAGCTTTTATCTTGTTTTTTTTAACTGCCGATCCTGGAGCCTGAACTCAGGGCCTGGGTGTTATCCTTTAGTGGGTTTTTTTTTGCGCGGGAGCTCAAGATTGGTGCTCAGCCCTTTGGGCCCCAGCTCCCACTTCTGGCTTTTGGGGAACGTTTCGCTGGAGATGAAGGAGTCTTATGGACTTTGAACCACAGCCCTCAGATCTTCCTGAGTAGCAAGAATTACAGGTGTGAGCGACCAGCGGTGTCCCGCTCCAGGTGTTTCAAGAGGAAGTTAGGGTGGATGGCCGGTACAGAAACCATGACATTAGAAAACAAAACAACAACAAATCACCCCCAAAACAATCTTGTTTGTTAGATCAACACAGTAAAGGGCTCAAGAGATTCTACTGAAGGCTGCTCTCCCCTTTGTGTGGGCCGGCGAGCCCATTTTTAAGGCCAGATAAAGAGTACCTCATTCATCTATAAAACGAGTAAAATACGGTACGGTTATTAGCAGACTATGAAAACCAGGGGGGAGAAAACAAAAATCAACCTCGCAAGAATTATTCACGTATTGCATGACGAGTGCTCTTTAAAAACAAAACCACCTAAAGAATAAGTTATATTATTTCTGTAGAAAAAAAAAATCAAACACTATCTATTCAGGAAACCTAAACGTCAGGGCACATGTGGTTTATTATTTTTTTGTTTCTCTGTCCATCTGGAGTCAGGTTGAGTGAGCTGAGACCCCACCACCACCAAAGTCAGTGCGGGAGAGGGTTGTTGGCAGGCCTGTAGTCTTGGCCCAATGCGAGTCTCCTTTATTGCTGCAGATAACTCTCAGCGGCCTACACACACACCACTGCCCCAGGACTGGAAGCCGAGCAAATCCATTTCACAGGGTGGCTCTTCTTCATTTTTTTCCCCTTTTGCTGCCCATGCTGGCGGGGAGAGGGGTGGGCTTGAACTCACAGCCCTGAGCGCCGTTCCTTAGCTCCCCCCCCCCAAGGCCAAGTCAGTGCTCTACCACTTGAGTCACACCTCTGTTTTTGGCTTCTCGGCAGTCCGCTGGGAGGGTCTCTTGGATTTGTCTGTCTGAGCTGGTTTGGAATTGCAATCCTCCTGTCTCAGCCTCCCCGAAGTAGCTAGGACTACAGGCAGGAGCTACCCGATGGGCCCAACTACATTTTTTTTTAAACCCCTTAAAATTTGAAAAATATTTCCCCAATGATATTATCTTAGGGAGTTTTTGTTTCCTAGCTCAGGAACATTCCCTCTGCCCCATTTACTTTTTTGTTGTTGTTGTTTTTAAGCAAGGAAAGAAAAAAAAAACACACAACCAAAAAAACCCAACGACGATGATGACGATGAACAAAAACCAGTCCAAGGTTCTACCATAGAGGGTCTAACGGTGGTGAAAGCATGGGTTCTTGGTGGGAGGTTTTGCGGGAGCTGAAGTTAAGGCCTGGCAGCGCCCCCTTTCCCAGAGGGGGTGCCCGAGAAAACAACTCCGGCAAAGATGCTGAGAAGGACAAGACAGGAGCGATCATAACAACAACAGCCCTCCCCAAACAACCACCACCACCACCACCCTCCCCAAACAACAACGCAAGTTTTTAGGCTGCCTCCGGACAAGAGGTTGTGCTTCTTTATCCCTCCCCCCGCCCCCGCCTAAAACAAAGACTGCTAGAATTCACATTAGGTACAAAGCAACAATAATAAAATAAAAATTCAAACACACACACACACATACACACATACACAACCAAAAGAAAAACCACCACAGATTGAATTCTCTAGGCTCCAGCCAAACAATCAACTTTGCATGGCCACTTCAGTGGGTGAGATCTATTCCCATGAAACCCCTAACATGCCCCCCCCAAATATCCTGGTGAGGGTGGGGGGGGGATTTGGGGCTGGTGGGGACAGTCCCACAGGGCCGCCACTGTCTTATACGGGGGAGGCCTAGGCTGGAGTAAGGCAAGGATGAGTGGAGAGACACCCCTGGCTTGGCCTGGAGACACATGGGGATCAGGGGGTGGGGGTGGGGAGGTGGGAGGAGGGGTGAAGGGAAGGTTTAGTAACAAGAGCCTTTGAGAGGGGAATGCTGGCCACGGGTGGTCTGGCTGTGGTTTTTTTCTTTCTCAGTAGGGCACAAGGGGGGGGGGGGGAATGTTGGCAGGACTGACAGAAAGATGAGCAACTTGAAAGGTCTCAGCCAGGAGGCTGGTGGCTGGATTCTTTGGCAGTAGTGGATTGAGGCCAAGAGAAGCAAAGACGAGAGATCCCGGCAGGTGGGAATTCAAGGCCGCCTCCGTGCACGGGGTGCTGGGCTTTAGCTGATGCTGAGCTGGGCGAATCCTATTAGTTTACTATCATCCGGGATATCTGAGCCTTCCACGCCGGATGCCTGGAGAACCAAACAGAATCACAGGTGAGGATGAATGACGGATGCAGATGACAGGCAAGGTGGCACACTCCCGTCATCCCGGCTGCTCGGGAGGCTGACATCCTGAGGACTGTGGTTCAAATCCAGCCTGGGCAGGAGAGTCCGTGAGCCACTCTATCCAATGAACCACCAGAAAGCCAGAAGCGGGGCTGTGGTTCAAGTGGTAGAACACTAGCCCTGAGCATGAAAGCTAAGGGAAGTATCCAGGTCTTGAGTTCAAGTCCCAAGAATGCTACCAAAACAAACAAACAAAAATTAAAAAAAAAAAAAAAAAAGGATCAGAGGATTCTAGAAAGAAAGGCAGTGGGCAAAAAGGGCTCTAGGATACAAACAGGAAGCTCATGGCACTCTCCAGAGAAGACAACTGCTGGGTCATACTGCCTCTTGATCCCTTTTTGTGTGCGTGTGCGCACCAGTCCCAAGATTTGAACTCAGGGCCTGAGTGCTATCCTTGAGCTTTTTTGCTCAAGGTAAGTGCTCTACCACTTGAGCCACAGTACCACTAACGGGTTTCTGGTGGTTTACTGGAGATAAGAGTCTCACGGACTTTCTTGCCTGGGCTGGCTTCGAACTGTGATCATCAGATCTCAGCCTCCTGAGTAGTAGCAAGGATGACAGGCATAAGGCGCTGGTACCACCACATTTTGTCTCCTGGAAACACGAAGGCTGATGTGTGGCGTGTGCTCGAGTGTGAAAGGGTAAGATGGCTGAATGGGGGGAGAGGAGGAATACCAGTTTGAAAGTGACAGATCGATTTGATTGAGGTTCTTCGACAATTTTCTGCAAATTAGCTGCCACTGTAATCATACAAACAAAGAAAGCAATGAATGAGAAGCTAAGTAAATTCACTTGCAACATATTTTAAAAGCTGAAATGGTGATGATGAACTGTCTAGAAAGAATCAAAAATGGACATAGACAAGACCCAACCATTGGTTCCCAAATCCAAGACCACCTAAGTTCATTTACTAGATGTGTAATTAAATCCCCCTTTTTTCCTTCCTTCCTTCCTTCCTATCTACCTACCTTCTTTTCCCTTCCTCCCTCCCAATGTAAAACGGCAACTGCTCTCACTCACTGGCTCACACGCTTACCAGCTGAGCCACACCTCCACATCTGTGTAAGTAAAACCTAACTCTCTGCTTTATCTAGCTAAGTTCCAACAGTGGCTGAGGGAGACACGGTTTGTCTGTGAACGGGCCACATGGCCCCAGACTGGGAGCCAAATATGATCTGTGGCCTGCTTTACAATCTCAGGAAAATGACTTAAGATAGTTTTAACTTATTAAAAATAGTTTAATCCAGCTGACTGCAGGTGGCTCGCGCCTGTCATCCCAGCTCCTCAGGTGGCTGAGATCTGGAGGATCGTGGTTGAAAGCTGGCCCGGCAAAGTCCATGAGACTCTTCTCTCCAAAAACCACCAGAAAGTCAGAAGTGGCACTGTGGCTCAAGTGGTAGAGTACCAGCCTTGAGCAAAAGAAGCTCAGGGGCAGTGCCCAGGCCCTGAGTTCAAGCTCAGGGACCAAAAAAACCCCACAAAAAAACAAAAAAAAAAAAATTCAATCCTTACTCCTCTGTATATCACCTTTATAGTAACAATAAAAAAAGGGAAAAAATAGTTTAAAAATGTCATTGGCTACAAAGCCAAATGAGCATGCCCCTAAAGCCAGCACTCAGGGGGTGGATGCAGGACCGTGAGCTCGAGGCCCATGAGGGGTATGCAGAGAGACCTGTCTACCATTTGTCTGTCACATTAGGCTAACCCGTGGGAACTCCTGATTTGTCCATCAGTAATACATACTTGTGGCTGCCTGAGCCGTTTCTTTTCCATTGTGCTTTTTAGGGGATGAATCTCTCATGTCTGCTCGGTTCTATGCTCCACTGGACAGGCCAAAATAGACCAGAGAGGGCCACACTGCTATTGTTTTGTGTTGGTCCTGGCTAGCGCTCTACCACTTGAGCCACAGCTCCAGATTTTTTTTTGGTGGTTCATTGAAGACAAGAGTCTTCACAGTCTTCACTGCCTGGGCTGGCTTTGAATGGTCATCCTCCAGATCTCAGCCTCCTGAGGAGCTGGGATGACAGGCGTGAGCCACTGGCCCTGGTTGCTTATGTTTTGTTTCGTTTTTGTTGTTGTTGATGTTCTGGTTGTGGGGCCTGAACTCTGGGCCTGGGCGCTGTCCCTCAGCTCTTCAGCTCAAGGCTAGCGCTCTACCACTTGAGCCACAGCGCCACTTCCGGCTTTTTTCTTTTTGCTTCTGTGGTGCTGAGGAATGGAACCCAGGGCCTCAGGCATGCAAGGCAAGCGCTCTACCACTGAGCCACCTTCCCAGCCTCGTTTTGGTTTTGTTTTTTAAATGAAGAACTATCCTCACTACCTTTCATCTCAGTCAGGCCAAGAACCATTTCAAGACCCATCCCATCTACTCAGTGAAATAAACCTGACTTTCTGGAAAATAAATGCCCGGACAGTGAGGCAGGTAGTTACCAATGACTAGATCCCGTCCGTCCACCAGGCCGGCGGAGATGAGTTCCTGAGAGACACCCTCGGCCGTATCTGCAGGGACAAAGACAGAGGCCTTCTGTGTCTTGAGAGCACACATCACTGGGACCTCAGAGCCAAGATGGCTTCCATTCACAGACCCAAAGGAGCAGGCAGGGCCACCTTCCTTGAGTGGGAAGTTTCTCGATTAAGGAATCTCACAGGTCTGGCAAGAGGGGCAGAACTGGAATGAACGAGATGGCAAATATCAGCTCAAGGTGGAGATGATCTTTTTTTTTAATTTGCCATTCCTGGGGCTTGAACTCAAGGCCTGGGTGCTGTCCCTGGGCTCCTTGTTGCTCAAGGCTAGCACTGTACTAACTTAAGCCACAGTGTCACTTCTAGTTTTCTGGTGGTTCATTGGAAATAAGAGGCTTGTGAACTTTCCTACCCAGGTTGGCTTTGAACTTCAATCCTCAGATCTCAGCCTCCTGAGTAGCTGGGATTACAGATGTAAGCCACTGGTACCTGGCTTCAATTTTTGTTTTTTTGAATCATCCTTTAAAAACAAAACATAGCTAAAGACTAAAACTTCAACCTTAAGAAGCAAACTAAAAGGTATTTTGGGGGTCCAGTCTTTTTTTGACGCCTTACCTCTCCCAGGAGTAAATTCAAATCGAATATCGTTTAGTTCTTTCTTAGAATTCCTGTAAAGGAGAACAAAGCAAACAAAGTGAGAATTTCTGCATGGCCCATCTTCCCTTTTCCACGCCCACTGGAACCCTGTGCTAGAAAGCTCTCAAGGTGCAATAGATGATGACATTTGGCCCAACGCTGTCTCTACAGGATGACGACTCCAGACTCCAGGATTCCCATCCAATTGTACTAGAAGCCTGGGAACTCCGGACCTCCACTGATCAACAGAAAAGTCTCATGCGCCGGTGGCTCACACCTGTCATACTGGCTACTCAGGAGGCTGAGATCTGAGGATTGTGGTTTGAAGCCAGCCTGGGCAGGAAAGTCCCTGTGAGACTCTCATCTCCAATGAACCACTCAAAAGCCAGAAGTGATGCTGTGGTTCAAAGTGGTAGAGCACCAGCCTTAAGCAGAAGAGCCCAGGGTCGGCGCCCAGGCCACCAAGTCCTCAGGAGTCCTGGGAAAGCAGAGAATGGCTACATACCTTAATCTTAGTACCAGACTAATGGGGATCTTGGTTTCCTGAGGACCCACTCCTGGAGACAGAGCCTACAATGCAAAGTCCACAGTCAGTTCCTGGAAGGCTGAGTATGAAGGAAACTGAGGGCATCTGTCTACCAGCAAATCAGCCATGTGCCAGGCATGGTGGCTCATGCCTGTCATCCCAGCTACTGGGAGGCTGAGATCTGAGGATCACGGTTCAAGGACAGTCCGGGCGAGGAAGTCCATGAGACTCTGATGAAGTCCGTAAGACTCTGATCTCCAGTGAACCAGCAAAAAGCCAGATGTGGAGCTGTGGCTCAGGTGGCATGTGCTAGCCTTGAGCACAAAAGCTTAAGAGAGAGATCCCAGGCCCTGAGTTCCAGCCCTAGTACCAGCAACAACAACAAAAAGAATCAATCACTCGACAACCATTTCTGTCCCTTTGTAGCTCAGTCATTCTGCCACCCAAGACATTGCCTGCTAAGAGGACAGGAGCAAAAACTGCTGGGAACTGGAGGCGGGGCTCAGCTGGTAGGGCACCTGCCAATGAGCACAAAGGATCAGACCAAAAGCTCCAGTCTTGGGTCTCAGAGGGGGGGAGCAGGGGGAGAATCTGTCAGCCTATGTCAAATGGAGTTAGTGTACTAATTCTAACAGCTAAGTGAAATAAACAACCATATTGAGGTCTCCTTCTTTTGAGGCCCTGGTCCCTCTTATCAAGGGTGAAAACCCAAAGCTATATTTCTCACTTAAAAAAAATCAGCCCAAGCTAGACACCAGTGGATCACATCTGTCATCCCAGCTACTCGGGAGGCTGAAATCTGAAGACTGTGGTTTGGAGCCAAACTGGACATGAAGTCCAAGAGACTCTTATCTCCAAATGAGAAAAGCCAGAAGTGGATCTGTGGCTCTACATACCAGCCTTGAGTGAAAAAAAACTAAGGAACAGCACAGGCCCTGAATTCAAGCCCAAGAGCGACCAACCTCCACCCAAAAGGAAGTACTAAGAGGGAGTGAATATGATCAACATGTCCATGTATGAAAGGTGCTCATGAAACCTTTTATTATGCACAAGTTAATATACACCTCCACCCTGAAATCTGGCACTGTAGCACAGGGCAATAAACTGGGTAGGGTCTATACTAGCTCTCCCCCTCAAAAAATTCTCCTCAACTGAAGGTTCCAGGGCTTCTTTGTTTTGTGATGACCCCAGGGCTTGCACTGAGGGTTGGGAGCTATTTTGTTTAGGCCTAGTCCTCTACCCTTTGAGCCATATCTCTGCTTCTGGCTTTTTGGTGGTTCATGGGAGATAAAAATTCTCGTGGACTTCCTGGCCTGGGCTGGCTTTGAACCTTGGTCCTCAGCTCTCCACCTCCTGAGTGGCTAGGATGACAGGCGGGAGCCACGGGCGCCCAGCTGAAGATGGAATTTCTAACTTGTTTCAGGGACGTGGCAATGATGGCACATGCACCGTACCTGGGCCGGCCGAGCTGGCTCTGCGGGGGGAGGGATGGAGACATGGGGCGGCGGCGGCGGAGGCATCTGTCCAGCTGGCTGAGGTAGATGAACAGAGATCTGTTCAGGAACTTGGAGCAGAGTACCCATGGCATCGGCTGACGGGAAGAGCTGCAAGAAAGACACACAGGAACAACATTGCCTGAGGGGAAAAGGGAGACAGCAACTGGCAGCCTCCTGGGGGACATTTGCTCCATGAGCCTGGTTCTGGGGGACTTGAACTCAGGACCAGGGGAGGAAGCGGGGAGAAGGCAGAATGGCAGTCATCATGTTCAATGTAGATGCTATTAAATTAGGAAAACCCAGAGGATGGGTGGGGTTGGGATGCAAGGGGGGGGTGATCAAAGGGGTGACATTGTTCAAGCTGCATTGATCTCATAAACTGACATGCTCAAGATACTGTACTTGTTTTAAAATGACAACAAACTAGCTGTCAGTGGCTCACACCTATCATCCTAGCAACTTGAGGCTGGGATCTGAACATGGGGATTCGAGGCAGCTAGAACAGAGTAAGTCCCTGAAAGACTCTTATCTCCAATGAATCACTCAAAATCCACAAGTGGTGCTGTGTCTCAAGTGGGAGAGCGGTGTAGCCTTGAGCACAAAGCGGATCTGGGACAATGCCTAGGCCCTGGGTTCAAGCCCCACAACCAGCAAAATAAATATTTTAAAAAAATAAAAGAGAGAAAGGTGGGCTGGGAAGGTGGCTCAGTGGTTGATTGCTTGCCTTGCATGCATGAGGCCCTGGGTTCAACTCTTCAGCACCACATACACAGAAAAAGCCAGAAGTGGCACTGTGGCTCAAGTGATAGAGCACCAGCCTTGAGCTGAAGAGCTGAGGGACAGCACCCAGGCCCAGAGTTCAAGCCTCACGACTGACCGAAAAGAGAGAAAAAGAGGGGGGGGGAGGGGGGAGAGGGAAAGGTGTCAGTGAATAGGGACAAATTCCTGGCAAGAATGATGAAAACTGACTACTTCCTCACACCAAGCAGCCCAACTGAAGAAAGTAAATCATAGAACTAGAGGTGTGGCTCGGGTGGTAGTGTGCCAGCCAACCAGCCCCAGTGCCAGATAGGGAGTTTTGAGTCCCGGTCTTGGACAAGAAAACAAACACAAAACAAAAGATCCAAAAAAAGCAAGTCATAAACTCAAGCAAGGAGAGGCCTTCTGAACCTTTAGCCCAATTTAAAAACCAGTTGTACAAAGTCTCAGTCTTGGGGCTGGGAAGGTGGCTCAGTGGTAGAGCGCTTGCCTTGCATGCCTGAGGCCCTGGGTTCGATTCCCCAGCACCACATAAGCAAAACAACAACAACAACAACACACAAAGTCTTAGTCTTATTCAGGCACATACAGAGAAAAGTATATTAACTCCTCACCCCTACCTTTTGTTTTGTCGGTTGTGGGGCTTGAACTCTGGGCTTGGGCGCTGTCCCAGAGCTCTTCAGCTCAAGACGAGCACTCTACCTTTTCAGCCACAGCACCACTACCTGTTTTTTGGTGGTTTTTTGGAGATAAAAGTCTCACAGACTTTCCTGCCCAGGCTGGCTTTGAACCCCAATCCTCAGATCTCAGCCTCCTAAGTAGTTAGCATTACAGGCATGAGCCACCGGTGCCCGGCTCATACATATACTTTTATATTTCATTCATTTATATTTTGATATAAGATGTGTTTATTATATTGTATGTAACTACATATTATGTAATACACATACACATTTTATACGTGTAAAACATTATATGCATAAAGTACATATTATATACTATATATTTATATATGTTAAGTATACGTAAAAAAACATACACATACATATATACAGATATATGTGTATACATATATTTTTTGTCAGTCATGGGGCTTGAACTCTGGGCCTGGGCGCTGTCCCTCAGCTCTTCAGCCCAAGGCCAGCACTCTACCACTTGAGCTACAGTACCACTTCTGGTTTTCTGGTGGTTTATTGGAGACAAGAGGTCTTTCCTGCCCTGGCTGGCTTTGAACCATTATTCTCAGATCTCAGCCTCCTGAGTAGGTAGGATTACAAGCGTGAGCCACCGGTGCCTAGCTGTAAAAAATATTTTTCAAAGCATGTAGGTTTTAGCCAGTATCCAACAATCGCAATCACTTACCTCAGAATTGGACAATGATTCTTTCACTCGAGGAGACTAGAAGAAAACAAACAGAAAAGGACATGTGTTCATAACTGGGAACTTAGGTCCCTGAGAACCAGCTTGGAGGAATGGCAGGTGATAGTAGTTTAGATCTACTTCACTTCAATCTCATGCATAAAGTAACTCCGACATGACTCTGGGGAAAAGTTTTCTGCACAGTAGAACTGAGATCCCTGTGGTTGTTTATACCACCAATAGTTTTCTTTGAGAGTGATGAGAAAGCCCTGGGTAGAAAGGGAGGGGAGCTCTCTACGGGCGGGGACCGGGCGCCAAGGAGGAGCGTTGAGGCATGCTCCTGCATTCCCTCCCTGGGCCCGTGCTGACGGGCGGAGAGCCCGAGCATGCACAATCCCAGCTCTGCTCACTGGGTGAGACATCCCCGAGGTGTTCTGAGTGGGAGCTACTGCCGATCCTCTGACAGTGTTTGTCCATGGAGCCTGTGGTGAGCACATCCGTGGACTTGTCAGAGTTAAATGTCAGTTGAAAAAAAAAAAAAAAAGGCCAATCACCCAGCACATCCTCAAAGCACAGTCCTTCTGAGGATGGACTTTAATGGAGAAAAGTCCTGAGACAAAAATTGAAGAACAAGCCAGGCACTGGTGTCTTACGTATCATCCCAGCTACCCAGACAGCTGAGGATCACAGTTCAAAGCCAGCCCAGGCAGCAAAGTCCATGAGACTCTGATCTGCAATGAACTTCCAGAAAACCAGCATTGGAGCTAGGGCTTGAACTCAGTGCCTGGGCGATGCCCTGAGCTCTTCTGCTCAAGGCTGGTGCTCTACCACTTTAAACCACAGCGCCACTTCTGGTTTTCTGGTGGTTCATCATTGGAGATAAGAGTCTCATGGACTTTCCTGCCTGGGCTGGCCATGACCCTCGACCCTTGAATTTCAGCTTCCTGAGTAGCTGGGATGACAGGTGTGAGCCACCAGTGCCTAGTTTTGTATACATTAAACAGTACTACATTTAAAAAGAGGTCCCAGTCTTGTCTGGCATGCAAAATAAACTGAGGTTCTGCCATGTACACCCTGGTTTTCTTCATGCTGGAGGAGGGTCAGCTGTGAAGAGGCATAGGAAGTTCCAGCCAGAGCCACCAAGTGAACACAACTTACCCTGAGTTGTGAGATGGCCGCTTTCCCCTCCTCACTTTCTTCATCAAACTCATCATCACTCCATTCCCAGCCTCCATCCTCTGTCTTATGGAGGCGGCCGCTGGAGCCTGGCACCCGACGAACCTGCCCAGCACAGAGAAATGCCAAGAGAGCTCAGACACAGCGCCCAGGCCCTGAGTTCAAGCCCCATCACCACAAAACAAAAATAGAAAACTGAGTTAACCATAGCCACCCTCTCTCATTACCTTTTTAGATCTTTCAGAAATGGTAGGTGCTCTCTGAAGTATTTTTTCTTGAAGAAATTCTTTGTTCTGGAGGGGGGGGGGGAAATCAGTATTTTATTCACATAAGACATTTGTACTGAACCAAACTAAAAATCCCCATAGAATATTCCTGACAAGTGTTTATGAAGAGAACAGGGAAAAATTCCATGCTATTACCCAGAGCCCTTTTGTACATTACTGCCAAGATTTGGGGTTTATTTTGTTGGCCATGGGACTTGAACTTAGGGCCTAGGTGTACTCCCTGAAGGTTTTTGCTCAAAGCTACCACTTTGAGCCAAAGCACCACTTCTGGTTTTCTGGTGGTTCATTGGAGATAAGAGTCTCATGGGTTTTTGCTCCCTGGCTAGCTTTGAACTGTGAATCTCAGATCTCAGCCTCTGATTAGTTTGGATTACAGGTGTGAGCCACTAGTACCTGGCTGAGCGTTTTCATAATGGCAAAAATAATCATTATTCCTGAGATGTATTTAACTTTAATGAACTTACACAAAACAAAGCTACTAAATTCCAAAGCAACTATATTAATTGCCAAAGATGATATACATAATGCCCTCAGCCATTATTTTATCTCCCATCACTCTTCCAAACATAATTATCTTAAGAAAGGCAACACATTGGGTGTAGGTAGGTGGTAACTCACGCCTATAATATAGCTACTCAGGAGGCCGAGATCTGACGATTCAAGTTCAAATCCAGCTCGGGCAGTTAAATCTAGAAGACTCTTACCCAGCAAAAGGCTGGAAATGAAGCTGTCCCTCATGTGGTAGAGTGTTAGCCTTGAGTAAAAGATACTCAGAGACAGTGCCAAGACTCTGAGTTTAAGTCCCAATACAGGCATGCATGTATACACACGCACGCGCGTGCACGCGCGCGCACACACACACACACACACACACAACCCAAACAAGAAAATGGTCAATCATGAGCAGTGAACATACATAAATGCTTAAAAAACATCCTAAAACAAGTATAATCGAAGCTAAAATGTCTTACCTTGGCTTTCTGGAAAAATTTGTGCCTTAACAGTTCTGCTGCTGTGGGTCTAAAAATCAGAAAAGAAAGTTTGTACAGTTAATTCAAGCATCACGTGAGCTTCCGTCTTCACAGAAAGGGAAGATGATATCTGGAGCGGCAAAATAAATATACGCCACTTTCTTTCACCTGTTGAAATACAGAAGGTAAGGTCATCTTCATGCAGGACAGTAAATAGAATAAGAAACCCAAATGGGTATGTTCAAATAATTATAGATTCCTTGAAAAAAGAATGAGTCAAATGATGACTCAGAAAGAGTGATTTCTTAAGGGCTTACAGAGTACATGCTACTTATTATTATTTACAAGAGGTTAGAGAGTCCAGCCCCAGTCGCTCACGCCTGGAATCCTAGCTACTCAAGAGGCTGAGATCTGAGGATCTCAGTTCAAAGCCAGCCCAGGAAGGGAAGTCCGTGAGACTCTTATCTCCAATAAACCACTAGCAAACTGGAAGTGGCACTGTGGCTCAAGTGGTAGAATGCTAGCCTTGAGCTGAAGAGCTGAGGGACAGCACCCAGGCCCAGAGTTCAAGCCTCAGGACCAACAAAAAAAGCAAAAAAAATTAAATATAGTAAGTACATATTGCACTATATTAGTATTGACAGATAATACTAGTATTAATATATTAGCATTAATGTATTTGTGTCGATTATATAATGTAAATATTTCTATAGCAAATTTACATGACTATATATAATTTACATATATTTATGTATGCTTATATAGAAATCATGTTAACATTTCATATGTAATTTAATTTGTGAATGTATATAGTCTTATACACTATATGTAATTTATACTTATGAAATTCCATCTAGTAAGTTATTGGAATAAAGGTTGTTCCCGAGCCCAGTAGTTCCTGGACTGGTTTGTGCTTTTGTTATTTCTGCTCTAGTTTATGGCTTCCTCCTATTTGTGGTATGCAAGGATCTTTAAAACTTTGGGTTATTTTTGTTTTTGTTCCTGACAATTTTTAGGTTATTTCCAGCTAGAGGATGTGTTCTTTTTCCTGAGTTAAACTAGAAGCACGAGTGTTCCCTAGCTTTTTTTTCTTCCTTTGTTATTTATTCAGAAAAAAACTTTTTTTTTTTTTTGGTCAGTCATGGGGCTTGAACTCTGGGCCTGGGGTGCTGTCCCTCAGCTCTTCAGCTCAAGGCGAGCGCTCTACCATTTCAGCCACAGCACCACTTCCAGTTTTCTGGTGGTTCATTGTAGATAAGAGTCTCATGGGGACTTTTCTGCCTGGGCTGGCTTTGAACCTCAATCTTCAGATCTCAGCCTCCTGAGTGGCTAGGATTAGAGATGTGAGCCACCAGCACCCAGCAAAAATGTTTCTTTCTAAACACATACATAGAAACTTTGCTGCCTGAGTCTCTTACCCTTTCCAATATTCCCAACAGTAAATTCTGAAGCCCCATTACGTATACCAGAAACATGATCAAAGTTGTCAAAGGCTTTGACTTTTTTTTTTTTTAAGAGAAAACAGAATTAAATCATTTTTAGTGCTAAACAACTTGTGGGGTGAGGGTGGCTCACACTTGTAATCCTAGCTACTCAGAAGGATGAGATCTGAAGGATCGCAGTTCAAAACCAGCCTGGGCAGGAAACGTCTTATGAGACTCTTCAATGAACCACCAAAAAAACAGAAGTAGAGCTGTGGCTCAAGTGGTAGAGAGCCAGCCTTGAGTGAAAAAGCTCAGGGACAGCACCATGACTGACAAAAAAGAAAAGAAAAACTTGGTAGATTATATGGCTGTCCCTGAAGAACGGGTTCCAAGGCCCCTGTCAATACCAAAACCTGCAGGTGTTGCCTAGTCTCTTAAAGGAAACAGCTCCGTGGGTATCTCACACGACCTCCAGAGGCTTGAGATGACCTGAACATCATCATGCATTTGTCAGGAGCTTTGCTATACTGGAAGCTCTACATAAAGAGCTGTTGTAACAGGAATAAAAACAAGTCAATGCCTAAAGCTGGGAGCTGGAGGTGGAGATAGGAAGATGGTGGCTTGAAGCCTGCCCAGGCAGAAAAGTCCATGGGTATCTTTATTTTCAATTAAAAAAAAAAAAAAAAAAGAGCCAAAAGTAGAGCTGTGGTTCAAGTGGTAGAGTGCTAGCCTTGAGCAAAATCAGTTCAGAGACAGTACCCAGGCCCTGAGTTCAAGCCCCAGGACTGGCACAAAAAACAAACAAATAGCATCTACTCGTAACTCAAAGATGAAATACCTCACTGGGTGATCCAAACAGTCTACCATGATGTATAATACAGACATAATGGCATAATACAGACATACACATTTATTTTTATTATTTGTGCTGGTACTGGGGGTTTGAACTCAAGGCTTGGGCACTGTCCCTTAGCTTTTTTGCTCAAGGTTGTTGCTCTCCCATTTGAGCCACAGCTATAGCTCTGGTTTTTAATTTGGTGGTTAATTCGAGATTAAAACAACAACAAAAATCTCATGAACTTTTCTGCCTAGGCCAGCTTCAAATTGCGATCGATCCTCAGATCTCAGCCTGAGTAGCTAGGATGACAGCAGCACCCAGTTGTGTTTATGTATCTCCTTCAATGAATATCTTACTTATTTTTTATCTTTCTTGAAGTTTACAAGTCAATACTTGTGAACGTGTACAAATAATTCTCTGTTTATATATGTATGATCTTAGACATCCCATATTCATTTCCATACTTGTTGGAGAGAAAAGCCAAATACTTCTTAGAGTTTACCTTTTCTCTGGATCCTTTTGAAGGCACAAGGAAATCATTTTCCTAAATGATTTGCCATATTTTTTCAGCATTTCTTTATCTTGAACACCAGTCTCCAAAGAAGGAGGGTCGTTCTGTAGTGTCAGCATTAAGACCTGTAAAGATTTTCAAGAAAGATAAGGACACAAGGTTTTGCTAACTGCTGTGGTTCAAGATTTTCATCAGGGACTAGGAATATGGCCTAGTGGTAGAGGGTTTGCCTAGCATGCATGAAGCCCTGGGTTCCATTCCTCAGTACTATATACACAGAAAAAGCTGGAAGTAGCACTATGGCTCAAGTGGTAGAGTACTAGCCTTGCGTGAAAAAAAATGAAGGGACAGAGCCCAGGCCCTGAGTTCACACCTTGGCAACAGCACTTTAAAAACACAAAAATAGCTGAGCATCGATGGCTCATGTCTGTCATCCTAGCTACTCAGGAGGCTGAGATCTAAGGATCGCAGTTCAAACCCAACCCTGACAGAAAAGGCTATGACTCTTATCTCCAATAAACCATTCAGAAAATAGGAAGTGGCGCTGTGGCTCAAGTGGTAAAGCACCAGCCTTGTGCTGAAGAGCTGAGGGAAAGCACTCAGGCCCAGAGTTCAAGTCCCATGACCAACAACAACAACAAAAAGTAAAACCCCAAAATAGTAAGTTCACATCTAGACTCGTTGTTTTGAACCTAAGTTCTTTGGATGAGTTGCATGTTAGTGGAAGAGCTAGAGATGGTTGACCCTCCAGCGGTCTCAGCCATAGGGATTCCTGTTTTAATATTACAAAATCCTTTAGTTCAAATCTAACTTCTTCAAGTGTGATATCTACTGCCAAACTATCCTCAAATCCATAAAGAAGCCAGTCGCTGGTGGCTCATGCTGTCACACTAGAACTCAGAAGGCTGAGATTGGAGAATCCCAGTTTGAAACCAGCCCAGACAGGAAAGTCCATGAGACTCTTATCTCTAAACAACCACCAGAAAACCGGAAGTGGTGCTGTGGCTCAAGTGGTATGAGCCAAAGAGCTTAGGTACAGTGCCCAGGCCTTGAACGTAAGCCCCATGATCAAGAACAACGAAACAAAACATGAATATAACAGCAAAGTAAGTTGGTAGCCTTGCTACCTTTACCTATTTCACCCTGTTTTTCCTTCACTTCTTTTTTTTTTTTTTTGGGGGGGGGGGCCAGTTGTGGGGCCTGAACTCTGGGCCTGGGCGCTGTCCGTTAGCTCTTCAGCTCAAGGCTAGCACTCTACCACTTGAGCCACAGCACCACTTCCGGCTTTTTTCTTTTTGCTTATGTGGTGCTGAGGAATCGAACCCAGGGCCTCATGCATGCAAGGCAAGCGCTCTACCACTGAGCCACCTTCCCAGCCCCTTTCCTTCACTTCTTGTAATGTGGCTTGTTTGTTGTTTGATGCTGGTATTGGGACTTGAACTTACAGCTACCTGCTTTCTCTTGGCTTTCTTTCACTTTTGGGTTTTTGTGTGTTTTTTTTTTTTTTTGGCCAGTCCTGGGCCTGGGTGCTGTCTCTGAGCTTCTTTTGCTCAAGGCTAGCACTCTTACCACTTGAGACATAGCACCACTTCCAGTCTTTTATATGTATGTGGTAACGTGGAATCGAACCCAGGACTTCATGCATGCTAGGCACTTTACCACTAAGCCACATTCCCAGGTCCCTGCCTCCCTGCCCCTCCTCCCCACCCTTTTTTGCTGGTACTGGGGAATAACTTTTTTTCTGGTTAACTAGAGATCAGCATCTCATGGAAGTTCCTGCCTGGCCTGGCATCAAACTGTGATCCTCAGATCTCAGCCTCCTGAATATCTAGGATGAAAGGCATAAGCTACCAGCACCCAGCCTAAGTTTGTTTTTTAAATATACAGTGAGAAGGTTTTCTTTCCTTCTTCTTCTTCTTCTTGTGCCAGTCCTAGGCCTTAAACTTAGGGCATGGATGCTGTCCCTGAACTTTTTTTTTTGAACAAGGCTAGTACTCTCTGAATCACAGTTCTACGTCTAGCTGTTTGGACAGTTAATTGGAGGTAAGAGTCTCATGGACTTTCTTGCCTAAGCTGGCTTCGAACTTTCTCAGATCTCAGCCTTCCGAGTAGCCAGGATGACAGGCATGAGCCACCAGAGCCTAGCTCGTAAATAGTTTTTAATGTTTGAAATTACGTTTATAAATTTACACACAGATAAAATGGGGTAAAGAGAGGATACTATGGGTAAGATAAGACAAATGAAAACAGCCTGAGCTCAGGCCGAAGCCTGAAGGCAGGCCTTACCTTCATTGGTGGGTATTTATGGTACGGAGCTGCTCCCGTGGCTAGTTCAATGGCCGTGATTCCAAAACTCCATATATCAGCTTTGAAATCATAACCTCGAACCTGCAAAGAACCCAGACATGCGCATGATTCCTTTAACAAGGCTAAAGGCACTTTTGAAAGGCCGTGTTAAGGATTGAGACGGTAAGCCAGCCCAGGCAGGAAAGTCTGTAAGATGCTTATCTCTAATGAACCACTAAAAAGCTGGTGGTGGATCTGTGGCTCTAGTTTTGAGCACTAGTTTTGAGCAGAAGAGGTCAGGGACAGCACCCAGGCCCCCAAGTTCACACCCCAGGACTGGCAAAAACAAAACAAAACAAGAAAAGAGTAACTAAAGGTTCAACCAAGGGACAGATAAATACATACAGCAAATGTGACTAAAGAGTTTTCAGGTTCACAACAAAAAAAATACAAAAATGGGGCTGGGAAGGTGGCTCAGTGGTAGAGTGCTTGCCTTGCATGCACAAGACCCTAGGTTTGATTTCTCAGCACCATATAAGCAGAGAAAAGCCGGAAGAGGTGCTGTGGCTTAAGTGGTAGAGCACTAATTTTGAGCCGAAGAGCTGAGGGACAGCGCCCAGGCCCAGAGTTCAGGAACCATGACCCACAAAAAAAAAAAACAACACTTTTTTTTAGATCACAGTACCTGCTCCATCACTTCCGGAGCCATCCAGCAGGGCGTGCCGACAAAGGTCTTTCTAACTTTATTCCGCGTAATATCACCTCCAGTGGCTAAGAAAGCACTAACCCCAAAGTCTAGAATCGAATACAACAGCATGCTATTTATTATAGGTTTTTACAACTGTTACTATAAAGGTGATGAATTTGATGGTGAGTGGGCAGGGCTCCTGTACTGGGGAGCCTGGCTGTCAGATACAGGTCTTTTGAGAAGTGACTGGCACTGATTTAATCCATGCATTTGTCTCCTGATGGATTTATCTACCATACCATGAAAGCCTGTCCTTGCCACTATAATGTTCTACCCCAATTCAGGCCCAAAGCAAATGGTCCAGCCACTGTGGGCCGGGCGGGTCGGGGTGGAAGAGAAGATCTCTGAAAGTAGGAGTCCAAATAATTTTTTCCTCAGATATGTTATCACAGTCAAGGAGCATTAGGCTGAGACAAGATGAAAATGACAGTATTGAAACAGACAAGGTGCTAATAAATAAGGTAAGCATCTGGGTGCTGGTGGCTCATGCATGTCATGCTAGCTATTGAAAAGACTGAGATCTGAGAATCAGAGTAGCAACCAGTGCTGTCTTTTTTTTTTTTTTTTGGTCCGGTCATGGGGCTTGAACTCTAGGCCTGGGCGCTGTCCCTGAACTCTTCAGCTCAAGGCGAGTGCTGTACTGCTTGAGCCACAGTGCCACTTCTGGTTTTCTAGTGGTTTATTGGAGATATGAGTCTCATGGATGTTCCTGCCCGGGCTGGCTTTGAACCATGATTCTCTGATCTCAGCCTCCTGAGTAGCTAGGATTACAGGCCACCGGCGCCCGGCTTCAGTGCCTGTCTTGAGTTTATTTATCCTAAAGGAAATACTTCCTTGTTACTACTATGTAAAACAAGTCTGTAGAAGACAAATCAAAACAAGAAAAAAAAAATCTAAGATTAGGCAACCAGTGGCTCACACCTGTAATCTTAGCTACTCAAGAGGCTGAGATCTGAGGATTGCAGTTCAAAGCCAGCCTGGGCAGGAAAAGTCCATGAGAGTCTTATCTCCTGTGAACCAAGCACAAAGCAGGAAGTAGTGCTGTGGCAAGTGATGGAGCACCAGCCTTGCATGAAAAAGCTGAGGGACCGTGCTCAGGCCCTGAGTTCAAGCCAAGGAAGAGGAACCAAAAAGAAGCCCACATCTTCCTGGTTCTGGACGGTCTTAAAGTGGTACCCCACTGGGGAAGTGGTACTGCTTATTGAACCAGAATAAAAAGAAATAGTATTACCTGCGATCTGTACTGAGCCATCTTCGCCCAGAAGAATATTCCCAGCCTTCACATCTCTTTAAGTCACACACACACAAACACACACAAAAAAGAAACAAAACAGTTACATATCAAAAAGCATCTACTCTTTAGTGGAACATACTTTACACACGAGTTAATTATTTATTATTGGTTGTGGGGTTTGAACTCAAGGTTTGGGTGCTGTCCCTGAGCTCTTTGCTCAAAGCTGGAGACTCTCAGAAGGCTGAGATCTAAGGATCATGGTTCAAAACCAGCCTGGATAGGAAAGTCCTCAGGCTGGACAGGAAAGTCCATGAGATTTTGGGTTTGTTTTTTTTTGGTCAGACATGGGGCCTGAACTCTTGAGTCTGGATGCTGTCCCTCAGCTCCAGCTCAAGGTTAATGCTCTACCACTTGAGCCACAGCATCATTTCCGGAATTTCTGTTTATGTGGTGCTGAGGAATCGAACTCAGAGCCTCATGCATACAAGGCAAGCGCTCTACCACTGAGCCACCTTCCCAGACCCCTCCATCAGAGTCTTTTTTTTTTGTTTTGCTTTGTTTTTTGGTCCAGTCATGGGGCCTGAACTCTGGGCCTAGGCACTGTCCCTCAGCTCTTCAGCTCAAGGCTAGTGCTCTACCACTTGAGCCACAGTGCCACTTCTGGCTTTTTTCTTTTTTGCTTATGTGGTGCTGAG